CCATCAAATGTTCATACTCACTTGATTATGAGATAACATAACATTTGAAAGTTACAATGCTCTGATTCGGAAATTCGTTTATTTATTCGGCGGACTGAACATTTATTGTTTACCTTGGACTTCTTTCAACCCAATTCGATTGCTTCTTAATCTTTTCTAATCGATTTTTATCTGTTTCTTCTATGATAGAAATACGGATCTGTCATTTGAAAAACAACGTCTCATATTTTAATACTATAGCCTGTTTGGTATAGCCAACCCTTTTCATCACAAACTGACAATTATATCGTGCGTGTGAACTCGCGACACTACGGATCATCGTTGAACAATGATTTAAATGGAACTCGTCACTGTACATCAACTTCATTGATTATGAGAAAGCGTTTGACAGCGTGAATAGGGAGGACAAAATGGAAACTTCTTCGACACTATAGTGTACTTGAAAAGATCATCAATATCATGCGGAATTCACACGACGGAGTACAGTGCAAAGTGGTGCATGGAGGACAGCTGACAGATGTATTCTAAGTGAGGACTGGAGTCAGACAAGGCTGCTTACCCTCCCCCTTGCTCTATCTTCTGGTGGTTGACTGGATAATGAAAACCACGACACCTGAGAGGAAGCACGGAATACAATGGGCGACTTGCATGCAACTAGACGATTTGGACTTGGCAGGTGTTTTTCCACGGTCAACGAACAACCATATTTTCCTTTCACTTCCTCTTATCAGTTTGTGTGTGGATCGCGTTTTCTATCCGTTCGGCCATCATCGACTTTTCATTATCACAATACTTTGAATCATTGTAATGATCTTCTGTTGCAACCTGCCTTTATTGCTGGTAGTAGTCAACGTAGCTAAAGGAAGTTTAGTCGATGTAAACATATAGTTTCTTATAAATAAGAATAATATATTTGTAATATCCCAACGGAACAATTGTTCCGTTGTACCATTTAAACTTGGATTAATTTAATTTTGGTTATTTATTCTCTGAAGAAGTGACTTACACTAAGCCACGAAACGTCAGAAAATCCAATTTTCTACTCATTGGGATATTACAAATATATTATTCTTATTTATAACAATCAACCCAATGCTCAATTTATTCGAAATTATCAAATCAAACCTTGGTAATGACACCTATATAGTTTCTTAGTTGCTTCAGCATTTCAGTTGATCACATCATCATGCAGTAAAATTGGTTCATTAATCATCCTGATGTTTCTTTATATTAGCAGATATGTTTATTGACTGCTGTTATGCTCTTCTTGTATAACGAAATTTATTTTTGTCTGGTTCTCTTCGTATATCTGTTTTACTTTAGTACAGCTATTAATTATTTTTGAGTTTCCTTCCCTATGTAATAAAATCACCATTTGCTATTTTTTTAAGCATTGTGATGAGATTTTTTGTATCATCTGTCCAGTTACCAATATTCTGTATTCGCACCTTTTCTTATATTAGTAAATATGAATATCAGTTTAGGGTTTGTGGAGATTGTTAAGTTTTTGTTCGAGATCATGAACGGATTGATATTAGACCACCATTGAAAACCTGGAAGCACTGGATGGCTGTTTCGTTCTATTGTTGGACTCCTCAGCAGTGCGCATCCACGATCCCGGTCGCGGGATTCGAACCCAGAGCCTTCAGTCTCGCGCGCGAACTCTTAACCTACTGGACCACTGAGCCGGCATCCAATGGTGTTAATGTCTAACTTCAACCGATCCACGAAATTGCGCGACCATCTTCCATTTCAATGGTGGTCTTACATCAATCGGTTCATGATCTCAATCAAAAAAATGTATATTGTTTAACTAGTCCTCGAATGAAATCCATGATTAACGCTTTACTACAGTAATTTGATTAGTATTAACAAAAAATATCTTCACTTAATAACAATACAATCGAGTATTCACAATGAATACTAGTCACCTAAATAGTTTTTGTGGTGTAAATTCTCGTGTAACATTCCCTTGGGTTATGTAATTCAATGTTTCAGTTAACTTCATGCATCTATTTTCTGTCTAATAAATAGGAATAAAGAGACTTAGTAGTGTGTAATTTGATTCTGTTTTTTTTGTTCTTCCTGATTCTACAAATTACTGAATTGTTTGTTTTAAATATTTGTTTAAGTATTTACTATTTTCATACCTTTACGTATGAAGTGGTAGGTTGATTCTGGTTTTTAGGTAAATTTGATTGTTTAGTCAGATTACAGAAACCAAGTTTACACATTGAACTTTGCGATTTCTTTTTAAAGAATCAAATAACTTTTTAATGTTCTACGAAGTGTCAATTACTTCCATGTGTACTACGTTTTTAAGAAAGTTGAATTAGTCGTTTAAAGATCCCCGTCATATTAAAAGACTAATATTTGAACGAAGAATATTCTTTTCGATAAATTCTCTTCAGGTTCTACAATTATATATCCAAATTATTAATCCGAAAAATGGCCAAGTTAAGGGTAAAGTACATCGTTTAGAGCATGTGAATTTAGGATTGTGATAAACAAAATACAATAAAATTGTTAATGTTAATATGACTCATATAAAATGTTAACTTGAATCTGCGTATATGTTAAATGAAATTTTAAGATCCAAGAGTCATATTAACATTAACAATTTTATTGTATTTTGTTTATCACAATCCTAAATTCACATGCTCTAAACGATGTACTTTACCCTTAACTTGGCCATTTTTCGGATTAATAATTTGGATATATAATTGTAGAACCTGAAGAGAATTTATCGAAAAGAATATTCTTCGTTCAAATATTAGTCTTTTAAGTTGAATTAGATTAGGAACACTTCGTTATAATTTGCTAGGATGTTAACTCTTGTACGATTACCTTAGGAATATATGGCTTATCAAACAAGGTTTATAGAAATCCAACTTCACTCATCGAGATACAGTTTTACGCTTTAAGTTAGTGAGTTCAGGTAGTGTGCGCAGGAAGTTTTGTTTTCGATAATTTAAAACTTAATTCATTTGATCAATGTTGGTAACGTAATGAAAGGACATACGTATAATAAGTTATGGCTTAGGTACAGTGATTCAATATATTTATTATTTGTAATAAATATTGTGTATATAATTGCAAGGAGTAGACTGGTCACTGTGGATCTTGTTTTCCGCTCTTTAATATCCTTCATCATAATGTATATACAAACGTTTAGAAGTCGTGATTAGATGAAGATTTCAGTCCTCATGATATAGCACGGCAGACAAATGAATAGATACCTCGTTCAGAACTAAAGCATCAGTAGTTAACACTGGTGTCTATCAATTAGCCATTCAGTGTACGTGATTTTAGTATCCAATCAATTTGAATTTTCAGACAACTTGATACAATATAAGTAATGAATCATCGTGCACTAGCTGATTATTCATTAATTTCACTTTATCCATGTTCTTTTAAATCCACCACTGTTAGCATGATTAATAACGACCTAACTCCTAATGTTGACAAACACACCTTTACCTTCAAAGCATACTGATGTTTAACCACCATTTGTTTTATTAAGATATTAAAGATTCAGCTATGAATTCATCAATGTCTCGAAAAAAAATTTTCTGTATACATTTAAGCTAGTGTGCGTCTAAACTCTTAGTTGGTTAATGAAAGTAAGAATTTAGCTTTTTGTGTAACTCATGAACTGTTAAGCTATTAGTAAACAGTCTCCTTCAATTGAATCGATAATAATAATAATTTGAATACTTTTGAAACATTTCGAATAAAAAGATAGATATCAGAAGGGGTTTTGTGGGGATTGTATGATTTCAATAGTTAAGATGTGGATGTGTCGCTCAGTTTTGTGGATTATTTGAAGTTATATATTAACACCTTTGAATACCGGCTTAGTGGTCTGGTGGTTATGCGCTCGCGCACGAGACTGATAGGTTCTGGGTTCGAATCCCGCGGGGTGGTGTATTTATTTATTTGAGTACACAGATATTGGTACAAGGGGAAATCAGATACATATGCACCACACAAATCAAATGAGATTTGTGTGAGGGCTGTGATACTACCCGGGTGCCCAATCCGAAGCAGGAGTTACTATGTAGTGGGCATTTGGGGGCCCCGAGGCGGGGTCGTTGGTGCGCACTGCTGAGGAGTCCCACAATAGGACGAAATGGTTATCCAGTGCTTCCAGGTTTTCCATTGTGGTCTAGCTTCAATCCCCTCATAATCTCAACTATTAAAAAGATAGAATTTATTTAGTTATTTTAAACTATCGAGGGTATTTTTTCTAGAGATAAGAATTTGTGACCACTTATTAGGGAAACAAATAATCCAGACTCAATTTTATGTCAATTAAAGATCCTCATCATATTAAAAGACTAATATTTGGACGTAGAATATTCTTTTCGATAAATTCTCTTCAGGTTCTAAAATTATCCAAACTAATAATCCGAAAAGTGTCCAGATTAAGGGCCCTTAATATTAGTCAATTTTATGTATTGATAAATACATTTCATTCCTAATTTATGAAGAGAAACAATTAAATCATGGAATCAGCTATATCAGATTTGATTGAAATGCTTTTATCAAATGGTGTCGTAACAATCATTCATAAATTATCTTCTTTAAGATCACGTAGAAGTTTTGTGTATATATGGGAAAAAAGAAATTATCCGGTAAAGCCATGAACGTAAAAATGTAATGTACTTTTCTGTATTTATCAATCAGCCTAATAGAACCCTAGGTGTCATTACCAAGGTTAGACGTGATAATTTCAAATAAATTGAGTATTGGGTAGATTGTTATAAATAAAAAAAAATTAAGAACTTAATTTTTCTACTCATTGAGATATTACGAATATATTGTTTTTATTTACAAATAGAACCATGTTTCTGAACCCCTCTCAATATCTATCCTCACCTGATTCGACTACTGGTCAGTAGCATGGATGTGGCTTGCATATATATATATATATATATATATATATATATATATATATATATCAAAAATTCACCATTATTTTTCTTTTATTTTGACAGCTTGCCGTGAATAAATACTTCTTAACACAACAGAATAGTTCCACGTAAGCCCAAATTTTAATATCTTGTTGTTTTATAATCTACCTTAATATAACCTTGTTATGTGTTTCGTTGTTCTTCGGATTTTGAAGTGTTGTTAGTTTTAAGTGGGAAATAACAATTTTATATTAAAGGAATTGGTATTAATTTACTGAATGTATGTCGTGTCCAAATATTGTTTTCTTGCAGTATATATGTCACTTGGTTATCGATGCTCAGTTCTGTAAGATCTCATTCACAACAAATATATCTTAATTACAAAAAGACTTTTCTGTGTATTAGTTTTTTTCGTGTTTTATTTCATGCAATTTATCATTAGACTCTATACTTGTGTATACTTGTTCATGTTTACATGATAATGTGCTCTTTACGGAGTTTTTCTTTCCAATTTACATAAATGTTTAATTTGTTTTCAGTGGTTAAGTGAAATGCTGTTTATTGTTGTTTCGTTCTAGGTATTCTGACTTGCTTTTTAATTAAACCGACCGATATATTTAAATAAACTCTATGTGCGTGTATTAGATAAATCAGACTTACGTTTTACAGTAGATCTATCATGAACTTTTCAAAATAAATATTGTTAGATATGTATATAGTTAAAAGTCATCATTCTTTGATGTTAAGTAATTTCATTGTGTCGTTGCAATAAAAATAATACGAAGAGTTTTTTTAAAAGTATTACACGTACAGACATATGTACGCTATCATTCTTAAGAGGTATGATACTACAAACCTCTAAACCTCATACCAATTTTTTGTATAGTGACTTACGATTCTTTATATATTTCTAGACAGATGACTGATAGATTTCTGTAGTTGTGGGCGTCATCGCTTTTTTTGTCATCATGTTTGGACTATCTAATAGTCAGAGAGGCTGTGCTTAGTACTGTTTATACAAATTTATTTGTTAAATGTGAATGTGGGATTTGATTAGAATCACTGTCCCTCAAGTGAAGTCGACTTGAGCGAAACCAACTGATTATTAGCCCAGGTTTTAGATTTTTTAGACACTAGTACGATTGTTAGTTAGGTTAACAACTCATAACTCCTACTTAAAATTCGATAAAGGACACTGGTTTCTATTCACTTGTTCACAGGGTTTATGTGCAATGAATTGTTGGTGGCAAAATACCTTAAAATCGCTGAACAATTTTCATTCATGTTAAGCGCTTAGTATATTTAGTAAATCAAATATAGCCAGAGATAATATTTTATTTTTGCATACGTAAACACAAATCCTGTTTACTGTGTTCAGGTTTTTGACTCATCTGACACGATATCCGAAAAATAACATGAAAGACTGATTATTTAAAATTCCTCATCACGATCACAATTTTTTTCGTCCCGTAACGTGAATACATTGGATTCTCATTCAAATTTATGTTTTTTTTACTACTATATATTTCTGTTTATTGAACTTTATTATTCAAGTTATCGACAAATTAATTAATCCATTCAACGCTAAACAATCATATAACACGACTGACGCGTACACTTTCATGTATATTAGAAAAGTAACTCCTATGAAAATGTAAACAAAATGGAAATCTATTAGAACACAAATATACATGAAACATGTATAGAATTAACAAGGTGTGTTCATACTGAATGATGTACTTAGCTTGAATATCATCAGATATCATTTATTTGTGGTATTTATTAACATCTTTCCTGGGAATACAGCTCTTACAATGATGTAAGCTTCAAAAAAGTTTGATAACACTGAAAAAGTGAGGGAAAGAAAAATGGTTTTATATTTAATTGTGAAAAAAATTAGAACGAAGTTTTTACAGGTTTATGAACTGAAATGGGTTGCACTCTGTCCCCTCCATACGGTAATGGTATATACTCCTCTGGTAGACAACTCTGATATGAGTACAAACTACTAGGAAATGCAACGCATGTGCTAACTGTTCCATTTCGGTTGTAGTCAGCTAGAACCGCTCACTCTATAACTTTCATGATTTCTAAAACATTTATGTGATTCTATCTGGAGGCTACGACGCTCTGGACATTTTCTAATAAAGCGTATGAATCTGTCAGTAGTTTTTCAAATAACTCCACGTTTTTTTGCTTATGATATGAATAGAATGTAAAGTTTCTGAATATTGTCTTATTGTGATGAAATAAAAATGTTAAACATTGATTTTACAAATAGTTATATTATTATGCATTATTATCGATTATGTTTTACAAAATGAAACACTTATGCTAGGTAGAACTGTGATATCTAAAAATTCATTAATCGATTATGATATTTGTAATACAAATTTGATTAAATTAGAAGTATTACGTAATTCTTTCTTTTTTGGTAAAAGAAAGTAATTCTAATTAAAATCCAGTGTCAGTGGAATAGTTGTCACTGTACTGGTAATCGTTCCGCAGTTGTCTGGTACTCTTTAACTTTGTGCGTCATCCTTCTGGAGTGAGACAAAATGCAGAACAAACCTCAAGTTTTCGTGTTGGATTGGAACCACTTTTTTTGGGATCTTGTCATCATAAAGTATCGAAAACTTAATTAAGTACTAGTTTGTTCTGCTACTATAATGATAATTTTTTGTCATTTCCCACGCACTGATCAACACCACTTATGATATTTGCGTGATATTTGACTTGTCCATTGCAAGAAACAATTATTTTCTTTATAATGCATTCACCTTATCTTGCTCAGTAGAGGGAGAGACAGATGTTGAAGCAATTGAAGTATTAATTTCGGAGCTATTTGATTTTAAAGCCTTTCAATTTATTAGTCGAATGAATGAAATTAAACCAACGGTAAGGTTAAGAAATTTTTAATCGACTGATGTTTAAACTAAAAGGTTGTATACTTAACGTTTACAGATTGAGTAAATGGAAAAAGGTTCTACAACTTTGTGTTATGTGTGTGTGATTTCACACTGATCACAACAAGCAAGTCCATATTCTGCTCTCATTTTACGTCTCAATATAGAATAGCTTCAAAAAGTCTTTGCTTTCAAAAGATGATCTGTTATTCGAGATTTTCCGGTCATCAGTTGTAATGTACCCTTGTCCAATCAAATACCATTCTGTGTTCAGTTATCGAAAATCCGACAATATGACTAACCCTCATATAAAATGCATAGCTCAAGGCCTAATACATAGAACTGTTGAATTAGTTATATGGCTCATGTGAAGCTCGTCTGTGTGAGCGAATATATGTATGTATTCGAGTTCCTTCAAAATAAATTAATAAAACCATAACAAGAATCGCAGTCAAATTTATATCATAAGTTTCAAACATTCAAAATCTTATGCCTAATGATAATAATTTGCTAATTTCTTCATTTACCCTTGCTCAACTTTTTCTTCCGAATTTCATATGTGAGGTAATCAATTATCTCAGTTACCGATTCTCCATTTCACACTGAAATAAATTGATAAGTTGATTGGAAGAATGTTACTCTCAATTGATATGTCTTTCTATTTCGGAGATTTTTTCAACCATTGTGTTCCTAAATTCGGTCTTCTGGACATTTATGGTTTTACTAATGATTTAACTTTCTGTTGTTGATATTACAAAATGACATCAATTGAAACATAGGATTCACGTGGAAGCTCTTTGGCTGTCAACACTGTGCATCCACGACCCTACTATATATGGAACCCAGGACCTTCAACCTCGCATATGAACGCTTATAGTTTAAACCACTGAACCTGAACTAATGATAGGGAGTGAAGTAGTCAAACCCGTCGACAACTTCATTTATCTTGGAAGTCTGATCAGTCCTAATGAGTTGGTGTCTGACGAAATCTCTGCACGAATTTAAATAGCTCGTTTAGTTTTTGCCAACTTACGTCACCTATGGCGAATGCGAGATATCCGTCTATCAATAAAAGGACGAGAACACTGCGCGGCAGTTCGTTCTGTTTTAATTTACGGCAGCGAAACGTGGCTATTGGGAGTTGAAGATACTCGTAAGCTACTAGTATTTGACCACAGATGCCTTAGAAATATCGCTGGCATCTGCTGGGATCACAAGGTAAGTAATAGTGAGGTTAGGTGCATGGTATTAGGGAATGATGGCAAACCAGTTGATGAGGTTGTGAATCTTCATCGACTGAGATGGTTGGACAACGTATTACGTATGCCTGAACACCGAATACCACGGCGCTCTATGCTGACTAGTGTTGGAGATGGATGGAAGAAATTTAGGTTGTGGCCAAACCGAAACGTGGCATCAGTGCTTGAAGTCACTAACTTCTGGTTTGAGCCATGTTGGTAGATGCAGACTACTTGATTGGGATCCGTGCGACTGTCGTAACCAATGGTTGGAGACTCTTGTTGACATAGCTCAGAATCGATCACAATCGCATCGGTGTATAAACTGTTTTTCTTCCCTCAAACTAGGTGATTAAAATCACTTCATACCTTTCTTTGTACGAACTAATTCTTTCTCGCTGTACTATGTCTTTATATGCGATCTTTCTTCTATATATCACCCCCATTGAAGTAACTACTTCTATGAATCCAGTGTTCATCTTGTTGTGCTAATGATGTGTGTCAACTTGAACTAATGCATATATGTGCCTGGTCCTACATTGCAGCTGACTGACTGAAACCACTGAACTAGAATCTTCCATTATGTTCATTGGGTAACTGGCTCACACCCGACATGTTTAAACTCCACTCGTCATTGTTTTATGATACCCATGATATTCAATATCACTCACAAATCTGTATAATGAATTTATTTTTCGTCAACAGTCTTTGTTCACAAATTTATTTCGCTTTTTGATTTACGATAATGAAGCTTGGCCCACAAAAACAGAGTATTACAGTTTTCTATATTTTATTCATTATAGTTATTCTATTGAATAATAATTCTTTTTACGTCCGTAAAAGTATTCATCTTAATTTTCGTCATACTATCCCTGACACGAATTTGAATTTCCTTTGAGTTATGGTTTAAATCTCACTGAGATTGCTAACACTTTGAAATTCTTTGACTATCTGTACACATCTAAAATAATAAGTCTTTAGAAT